TCTTGACTAAGCATGCCATAAGCAACATTCACGGTTGTTAAAGGATTCATTAGAAGAATTTGACTCCTAACGGTTGCATAACCCTCATTTAGACCCATCAGAAATTGCATTACTTTCTGAGTTTGTTCATGCTCTTTATAAACTTTGGATGAAGGACAAGAACATCTGATAGATGGGACCATAGAAGAATATTCATCCCAGAGGAGCTTCAATTGCGTATAATAAACTGAAATTGATGACGAACCTTGTTATATTGTAGCAATGTCTTTCATGATTGAATATATGCTAGAACCATTGATCTCATCAAATGTTTCTGGCAAATCTTTCCAAACAGTTGCAGCGTTGGTTCCATAGATGACTCGACCCACAAGATCTTTAGAAATACAATTCATTATCCAAGACTTGCGTTACAACGATCCCACTGTTGTGCCTGAATCAAATCAAGAGGACGCGGGAGTGTTCCATTAATAAACCCTAACTTGTTCTTCGCAAGGAGTGTAATTTTCATCGCTCGACTCCAAATACTGTAATTGTCACTTCCTGTTAAAATTTGGCTAACGATTTGGCTCCCCGGTGTGTCAAAAGGGTGCATGTATAATGGATTATTGTAATCGGCAGCCATGGACACAACTTGAAGATTCTCTGAGGTATTCAACGACATTGTTGAAAACAAATGATCTTCAAGAAAGATTGTAAAGAATTTGAGTAAACTGAATGATCTTAAATGAAATTGGAACTAATTGGAAGCAAAAAAAAAAAATAACTTGCGGAATTTGGACTGAATTGAACCCAAGATCAAAGCTCTGATACCATGTTAAGAGAAACGAAACAGAGAAAAAGAATTGAGGAAAATTTATTCAGTCAACTCAACTCTGTTTTACAACTACTACAGCTCTTTTAAATAACTAATTACAACCAATTACAACCAATTACAATATGACACTTGGACTTCAGCATTAATAAAAACTAATATATATAATTAAAAAATAAAAGATGGAGCATGAGGGCTTTATAAGAAAAGAGAGAGAAGACATTTTTTTAAGTCTTGATGGGTCCTTTTTGTTTAATCACCTTTCATGGTAAATTATACCTGGAGGAAGAGACTGCTTCAACTTGTCAGGTTTTAGTTACATCAAACACACAGACTGTGTAAAGGTACATAGAGTAGCGAACCTTAAACTTAACCACACCCTTGCCCCTCTAAATTTTAATAGAACCAGCATCCTTCCTTCTTGCAGTAAGAAGGAACACCCATTTTATCTCGTGAATCTGCTTTGGCTATGGATCAAAAAGCAAGTTTTAATGACCTTGGGCATTCTCAACCATTTACATACAAAAGAAACGCTATGACACAATGGTAAAAACATAGGACTCAAATAATCTACAGACACACTAAAATCATGTTTTCTGAGAACATTTGTCAAGTACATCTTTCAAACAAATATTTACACAATCAGTTTAATTGCAAGTACAACTTCAACCACCGTAGTCAAAGACATGAATCACTATGACACTATAACTTTGGATGCATATATCAACAAACCTAACCTGAGATAAACACAAATTTAATATACTATAGAAATCTAACCCGGTAAAATTTTCTAACCCAAAAATTGATTTTTTGTCAAAGATTTTCGCAACATAAGAGCAAAGAGCATAAATGTAGCACAACCTCACAACATCCCTATACGGTTCTGGCGTGATGTGGTGGCGTCTACTGGGTTTTGGAAACCAGGCATGGCGGTATCTATAGTGTTCAGTGAGGAAACTAGGTTCGGGTTGTTTTTGTGAGGTGTGGAGAACAATGGTTTTGGTGTGCAATATGTCACGACTCAACTATTTCCCTTCGGACTCGTGCGGCCTTAGGTGCCAATCTCTCGACAATTGCCCTAAGTCAGCCTTGCTCGCTCACGCTTCTAGCCTTGCAAATAAGAGAACACTCACACAAACTCACTCACAAGAGATGCTAGAAGAGAACTTTTTACTAATGAGAGAAACTTTACGATTCTTGGATGGTTTGGCCAAATGAAGGCCTCCCCCTTTTATAGTAAATGGAGCTTACAATTAACGGTCTAGATCTTCCACAATCAACGGTGGAGATTAGTTAACTCCAAACTACCACCTACCAACTACCATTTACCATCTACCAACTACCATATTAATTACAAGATTCTAGCATATATAAGAGTATACTAGAAGGTTCTAGAGTATCAAGGTGACGCACACCAAGTGTTTGATGAAATGCTTGAGAGGCGCACAAATGGAAGAAATTTTTTGTTTTGGTTTTCGAGGGAATTGACTTGGTAAGGTGGTGATTTGGCCGATGATGTGACACCATCCACATCAACTACCACGTCAATTGGTATGGGAGTGTTAGTGAGAGGATTAGTTGATGTAGCATTATTGATCTTCTAATATCTTAACAACCTTAAGGATCTGCTTGGGAGTTTCATGGTAGCGATTATGAGAGTAAACCACCGTAGCGGTTTTGAAGGGTTTTTAGTAGCGGTTTTTAAAACACTCAACCTGTGCTTAGGAGTTTATTTTTTAACGGTTCTGACAGTTTTTTAAAATGATAAATTTACATATATGCCCGTAAAAATACCCCAACTTCAATCAGTACTTGAGAGTTTTGTTTTTTCAATTACAAGGTAAGGGTTCTTTGTTTGTTTTCTACTTATTAGTATTTTATAATTTCAAATGTGATAAAGTCTTCTTATCCTTCTTCGCCATTCTTTGCAATATCTGGAATGATTGAAAAATTATAGCTTCACTTCTCCAAGAAAGCATCGAGAAATGAGTTTTTAATAATTTTTTTTTTTTTTTTGATGATTGCTTAAAATTATTTTATATTTAATATGGTTGGAAATGCGCATAATATGTTTAAAAAAAAAAATTGGATATAATTGGGATAGTTCTATAGTGGATAGGGTATTTGTGGAATAAAATTTTAAAACCAACTAAAACACCTCAATTTGGGGTGTTTAATTAGGGTGTTTTATAAACCCTTCAAAAATACACTACACTGGTTCTGAGGGGTTTTTGAGCCAGTCAAAACTAATGCATAAAAAATCTGGCAAGTAATAGTTTTAGAATACCTCAAAATTAGTCTAATTAAAAACCCTCAAAACCAGTAAAAAAAAAACTCCCAAACAGACCTAAAATAGCTTATGTCACGAGAGAATTATTTGTCCATTCAAACAGCTCAATTTCTGTTTCTTTCTCTTAGTGACAAAAACTTCCCAAGTTGGCCTCAAATCTCAACTCATTGACTTGTTATAATTTATCCTATATATTAAGTTTAAAATTTCTAAGTTTAACTTTTGTCAACAGCTAAATGTCATTTACAATACTATCGTTTATGTACATATGTATTGAAGAATATTCTTTTGATGTAGCAAAAAATGAAGTTTAATTTATTTGTATATATAGAAGAATATATATATTTTTAGACATTGATAACAAAGTTATCAGACAATGTCTCAAGAATAAAAAAAAATAAAAATAAAAATGCATCAAGTTTAAATATATTAAATGAAATATTATAGAATAATGAATATAACATGTTTATTATAAAGTGTAATATTTGGTTGATGAGTGAATAATTTAATTTTCAGATGGCATTGAGATGGGTTTATGAGCAACGGGTGAGTTTGGTAGCAAAGAGTCTCAACAATAAGAGAATGAAAGAGAACCTTCAAATCTTTGACTGAGGAGGAGTCAGACAGGATCAGTCAACTTCCTCAGCAAAGAGGAGTCTTAGCTGCCACTATATGGTTCACAAGATGCTGATCTAGAACTTGATACAGAAATATGAACACAATATACCACCATATATTTGCTTCATGTTGGATATCACCTAATAAGTGTTAATATTGTATCGGAAATAAAGCATTCCTGAAATGAAATCAAAGTGTTCTACATTATCCATGCAATTTTAGGATTCTTCATTCAACAAAGGATTCAGTAGATGCTTGAAAAATAAATAATCAATGTTTTATCTTCGATATTCTCAATACTATTTCTCTCCTTTTCATTCAACAAAGCATTCGGTTAGTGACAGCGAGAGAAATCATTATTTTAGAGATGGGAGGAACTGGGCCGGAGTTAGAGATAGCCAGTGAAATCGTCATTATTTTATTTTGGGGGTCAAAATGTTATGTTCAACGATTAAGGGGACTCAGAAAAGTGACTTTAGGAAGTTATAACGACTAGAGGGGCCAAAGTTCAGTTTTACGAATGACTGGGTAAAAAAAAAACATCTTTTCAAAAATGAAGTTAATATTTGAGCGGAAGACAATTTTAAGAATTTACTTTTGACCCCCATTTTTTTGAAGGAAATAAAGGAAGCTCCACAGTTTCACATTATACAAGAGGTTTGAACATATATATATAGTTAACTAAAAAATGTAAAGGTTTTATTTAAAAGACAAATCTAATTGTAAAATCTAATAACTTGCCAATTATGTGTTTAATAAAACAATAAATGATATATTTATAATATATAACACTAGACTCAATAGTCTAACATATAACGGTATATTTTGATATTCTAATTAAAAACATGTTAGATGACGCTAATCTTAGTAGTCTAAAACATTTTGATTATTTTTGTCAGGCAATTAACTTAAATCATGTGATTTTATGACTAAATGTATTTTTAAACAAACCATCAGCATACTGGTAACTACAGTTGGTAAGGATTAGTATACATATGAGAATATCTCGTTTTCTTGCACCTCTATTTGTCTGTTTCAAAAAGACTTTCAAGATTCAACTCCAATTGTGAATTGATAATTAATACATATCTCCTCTCATATTCCTTGTCCTTACTAGTATTACATCTTATTTCCCACAAAAAATATAAATGTTGTTTAGGCTTCTACTTTGCCTTTATCATCAATTAAGTAATCAATGCTAAAAGCTTAAGCTAATTAGCAAATCCAAAGTTCCAAGTTTCCAGGACCCAAATAAACAAACGAAATAACCAAGTTTCCAGATAATAAAAATAAAGTTGTGTAATAGACAATTTTGTAGTAAAACAAAAAAAGTTAAAACTTCGAAATGTGTTTACCCAAATCCCGTAACACAAAAAGGACTTGCTTTCTACGTAATTAAACAAAACATATGATATAATGGTGTGAATAAAATTATATAGGATAATCATAGGGGCCTGTTTGCCACATAATTACATACGCCCACAAGAAGGCATAGACTTGGTTAAGCTTGATACCTGAGGCACTCTACAACCTAAGTTCTAACAAAAATCATAGACCTTTATGATTAAGTTAATGCAACAGAGAGACTGGCTACTCACTCACATTTGATAGACCTGTATATATGACGAACAAAAAACAATGAGGCGCGGAAACCCACTGTCCCAAGCATAAGGAAGAAGCCATAGCAGATGCAAGCCATGTAGCCAAAGAAAAACGAGGTCTGCATAAAACCAGACATATCCGATCGTGCATAATAATAATACAAGCAATATGCATAGATAAACACACCAGTAGATCCACCACAAAGGAAAGACCTGTGACAAATCAATGCCTCAAATCAGTCCAAAGATTGCACAAAGGTAAATTAAAGCTTATTCCCAGTTCATAAATTTAAAGACCACAGATACATAAATTTGCACTAAATTCAAAATTTTACAGCTAAGCATAACTACAAGATAAGACAATCAATTGATCCGAAGATGGCATAATAAGTCAAGTTACATGTTAATCTTCTGATGTATGAAATAGAAGTACAAATGCAGTTATACAATCCCAAAAAAGAAGCAGCTCAATAATACCGGGTAACAACAAAGGACTAAAACAACCACACCAGATTCACATTATTGTATCTGGAAAACACTTAAGAGATTCTACGGCACGCGTCATACACAAGCATAAATGAACTAAGGTCTTAAATTACTCAAAAATGAACAATCAATCCAAACAGCTCAACTGCACCAAAAGCAGTCAGGTAATAGAATAATTGAACTTTATATCAAAAGCAACTGAGATTGGTTGTTAATAAGTTTTTAACTCTAATAAGTTGCATCTTAATTTTCATAACAATTAGGAAGCGCCTTCCAAAGTTAGCCAGTCAGTCACATATTCAGGTAAATAGATTAATCAAGATTTATATGAGCATCTTCGCTTGTGCACCAAAATATAACACCAACAACAATAAATAAACAGGCCCCAAAGAAAATACTTGTGTTGCAAGAGGCAGCCTAGCTAAACCCTTATCAAACTGGATAGCAATGTGCTCCACAGTATGCAGAGGATTGTAATTGAGAAATTATTTTCTAATTTTGGAAAATTCCGAACTTAAAGGAACTAACTGATTAACATTAAAAATGCCTTTTATAATCATAAATGGTAAACAAGACTAGAAAATAATTATAAATTTTTATATTGTGATGATTAGAAGTAAAAAGAAAATGAAGAGATGAAAATCTAATCAGATAATTTGTGTACCTCCACCACCATTCATGATCTTCAGCAGCAAGTTGGAAGTATGTCAAAGCCACAGTAATGAAAGCAGTAACAATCAGCAGAATAATGAAGACAATAAAGAGGATGCTGTATATTGTGTAAATCCGGTGGCCCCAAACACTGGCAAATATGTAGTAAAGCTCGATATATATAGCACTGAAAGGGAGAAAACCTGCCATTGCCATCTGAGGAATGGCACTCCTATACCAAGGCAGCGGTGGGATCTCTCTAGGATACTTTGTGGTACGGCAGGGGGCTTGGAACTCTGCTTTAGTGTTTTTACCAGCAATACCACCTAACACAAGTAATGGTGATGTGACTAATGTCCAAATGAGAACTATAACCACAATTGTGCCAAAAGGCAATGCTGCAGTTGCACTATAAGCAATGGCAACAGTATTAAGAAAGCAGAATGTCAGGAACAGTGGCCCGCAGAAGAGGCATCCAGTCAGCAACAGATTCCTCACCTGTGAAAACAAAAAGTTAAAAACTAAATTAGTTCACAAACCAGACTTTAAACAACAGTACATAACAAGCTATATTCAGAGCTAAGAAGTGCATCAGCGCATACCCAGTTTGACCCTTCAAGCTGACAGTAGAAAGAGGAAGCTGTATATCCAGCAATCCCAGAAGTGAGTGCATATATGACCACCAGTGCAGTAAATAGAGCTCCTCGGTTGTATGGATAAAATACACCAACCAGTGCAAGCATAAATATAAATACCGTGCTGGAACAAAAAAATGTAATAGAATAAGAACAAGGCATCAATTATTGGCAAAAAGAAAAACATAAAAATAAGCTAAGCACTTAAATCTGAATGAATCAAAAGAAGAAAGATCCTTACAGAGTGAACAACTGGGTACCGGCACCAAGGGCAGCAGCAAACAAAGACTTGTGTTTTGGGAATCGAAACACATCACCATGAATGTACTTCCATCCAGTCTCTTCTTGGTCATCAGCAGCTTCCTCATCTTGGGCATATCTTTAAAGAATCACACACAAACAGTCAATGCATAAAAGAACATGAACAATCAGTAGATGTACAAACAAATATCAACCAATAATTCAAAAAATAAATCTTACTTCATGAAGTCATTCTTAAGAACCCGCATGAGAATCGTAGCTAGAAAACCAGTCAACAATAGAACTGTCACACATGAGTTTATGATTGAAAACCAATGAATTTCCAAATGATGTGGCAGTGAAGAAGAAAGCGAGTATTTTTCCATCCTCTTTTCAAAAGGGGTGTCAGTCTCCTTCCATTTCACACTGTACATGAACTCCGCATCAACATCTTTATCCTCCGTCAAGTCCACCAAAGAATGAGGGTCCATTCGCGCACTGATCTCAATGACACGATCCTTGTTGTAAAGAATATCAAACTGAATATGTTTGTAAAGGAAATACTTGTACTCGCTCGGGTAAGTTTTCCCTTCCTTGTCAACTTTACCAATGAAACCCCAAATTGGCAAGTCATCATAATACATTTGGAAGTAATAGTCCTTCTCCACAGCACTCCGAAACTGAGCAACTTCTTCCTTGTTCAGCTCCTTCCTACAAACAACAGTAGAATCTTTCTCGTCTCTGAAGTTGAGTTTATAAGGAGCACTGACGAGACGATCCCCATTCAACACCTCACCAAGGGCTTCCTTCTTCTCTTTTATTACAGCATCTGCCCAGTGAATATATAAACCAAACAAAATCACAATAAACTTCAAAGGTCTAAAATTCAAGTATCAAAAAAATATCAGCATACCCACATAATAAAATAATTTATTTCCCTAAAAAAATGACATGAATTACTAAATAAAGAAATAAATAATCTTCTTTCCAAAAACCAGAAAAAATATTCATTTCAATTATTCAAATTCAAACAAATATGCGAATTAAAAATAAATAAATGCAATTTAATTAGAAAACAAATTCATATAAATTATTTCAGAGAAACAGGTGAAACAAATAATTTACAAAAGTTAGTTAAGATAAAAACCTGGGGAGCAGAATGGCAGATCGAAATAGCGATAAGTTTCACTGAAACCAAATAATACAACTTAATAAATAAATAAACACAATTAGCGCATAAAAATCAAAGCTTTTAACCTAAAATAAAAAAATTAAAAAAAAAGGAGGCGCTCAGATTAAACGAATAAAATACAAACAAGATCTAAAGAAGAGGGAAAATGAAGAAGTTACCTGGGGTTATGGAAAGGGCCAACCTTGTTGGCGTAGAGAGGGACGGGGTCACCGACCTTGAAGCGGTGATCGGAGGCATCGGATCTAACGTGGGTGAGGCAACAGCCGATCAGAACTCCCAGAAGGAGAAATTGTATGAAATTGTTGGTCATAGTTTTGCTGATTTTTCTGATGATCAGTAAGTGTAAATGGTATAATTTCAAGCGGAAATGGAAGAGCAGAAAAGTAGGAGAGGATATGTATAAATATTTATATATGAAAATATAAATAATTATCAGATTTTCTTTTTTAGTTTTGCCTAGGAGGGATTCTTTCTTTTAACGTTCTAGTCATTTTAGGGTAGGAACCACAAAGATTGTCTATTTAAAATGATTTTTTATGAATTAAGGTGCATCGGATTTTTAACATAATTGATAGGGACTTTATGGATGCCACGTTGAATTAGAAATAATATTTAAGAATTAACATTCATTTTAGGTCTCTTTTATATGTTTATTTTGTTGGGGTTAGGAACGTTTAGCAGAAGTGTCGATTGCCCAGATTTTAAAATTTGCTCCCCAATTGTGCCATTACAATAAAAATAATAATAATTTAATACAAATATAACACACACACACACATATATATATATATATATATATATATATAACAATTTTACATATTATATATGAATATAAAGAACACAGAATACAGAATAAAAGTGAGTAAGAAAAAGTTACTGACTCTTTTACTATTTCTTTTTCCTCCTTGAATATTCCCAAAGTACTCCAAGTGTGGTATCTCTAGATTAATACACACGATCTCACACTGATGAAAATTATCTCACTGAATAGAATCACTTTCACTCCAAGGTAAGAATGCGCTAACAGTGATCCATACGAAGACAAGACGAAACACCAATTGATTAATTTGCTAGAAAAATCAATTGGTTTTAGAATTAAAAAAGGGGTAGAATTTTATTGAAAAATTATCTTCTCTCACACAATGATGAACACGTTTGGGAGATTAAGGGTGGCTAGGGTTTTCACTCACATAAAATTATTATTTTGTTTTATTTTAAGTTACACTTATACAGTACAACAAATAAAAACTTATTCCTTAATTGAAATAGCAACAATCCCATTCCATAATTAGAATATAATTAACCCCACAACCAAAGAAGGCAAATTTGGTATTTTAATTAATATTATTATTATTCATAAATATTAATATATTCAAAATATATTAATATTAATAATAATTTTACATTTAAATATATGTACACATACATTTAAATAAATACGTAATCTCACTAATTTTAATTCCTTTGTGAAATTAAATACAAGCAACGACTTTAGCAAATTTAATTGTACTATGAGATTACCAAAATACTCTTTCGTCTTAAAAGATAAAAATATCATTTTCACGTATTAATTCTTAAACTATCTTCTATGTTATTAATTCTTAAACTATCTTCTATGTTTGACATATAGGCTCCTCGTCATATTGGTTGTGAGTAGTATCGCAATTAATACTCAATTAATCGTCTCACTAAACACATACCAAGATTGGCCTCTAACAAGGCATCATGGTCACCTAATAGATTTGGATTCAATAATATAGCTTCCTATCAACAGTATGGTTACTGTGCAATCTAATTCTTTCATCATCCATTATCTCATCAAGGTTTGAAGTATAGAAATAATGTCAACTTCAAATAAACTACCTTGATATGTTTGTATTTAGTCACCAGACCAACGACCAAATAAAATTGGACTTGAGCAACAACTCAATTCCATTGTGGCCACATATTTGCGGTCGTTGTCATTTACCGAATTACTCAACGAGAAAAGTTCTCCTTTACCCAAGAGTGATGAATCATATGTTGATCCACTATAGGCATAGTGTACTTCTCAATATAGTCAAAAACTACCATACTGATAACCCTAAATAGGATTACGTTAGGCTAGTGTCAAACTAAATTGATATTTACACACGACACTCTAGTGATCTCAAGTCTAAGGATCACATGCATTACTATCTGTTAGAGGATATATTCCATAGACATTGGGGTTGCCATCTATATGAAATCCTCTAACGGGTCAGCCCAATGAACTTGCCAAATATAATTACCCACGCGTTGCACCAAGTTGTTGCCAATGAACTTGCCAAATATAATTACCCACGCGTTGCACCAAGTTGTTGCCAAACAACTTTGATATGTGAGATCTATCACTACCTTTTGATGGGGTCGTTCAACGTTGTGATAGTCTTACCGTATTATCTGTGCCCTAGTTCAAAATAATACTAAGGCTATGGACAATTCTAGAATGGTCATCATATATGATCATAGGGTCCTCACAATCAAAATTTAAAACATTTGATACCCTCTTCACGATTCTACCACTCTAAGGGCATATATCAATATATTAAATAATATATCCACATTGATATAGAAAATCTACCTTTATTAACATGTGTTTTAAAAAGAGTGAATAACTACAATTTGATTGGCTCTAGGGCATCAACACTAACAATCTCCCGCTTGCACTATAACTAATCATTCGTGCATTTAATACTAAATGCTGCTAATTGTTTATCATGCTTCTACTGCGACAGTGCTTTCGTCAGTGGTTTTGTTAAATTGTCATCAATAGGCACTCTGCATATATGCACATCACCCCTCTGAAAAATCTCCCTAATCAAATGGTAACGTCAGAGTATGTGTTTGGATCGTTGGTGAGATCGTAGTTCCTTAACCTGTACTACAGCACCATGTGAGAAAACGGTCCATATACGCAACGGAAAACAAAAACATAATAACAAGGATCGTTCCCATTGAGCCAAGATCAAAGGTATAATTTTACAGTTTATGTTTAAACAAGAATCTGTAGAAAATAAATCTATATATTAGAAATCATACCCACGGTGGAGGCTCCTCCAATTTTGTCTCTGAACGTGTTTTGCTACCGATCCAAGTATAGGATCGAACCGATGTAGTCCACACGAAGACAATCGCAAGGAACTAAGGAGGGATTTGCTAGATCCTCCTTAGCCTTAAGAATCAAGAAGAAAAATCAAATAGATTGATTTTAGACTAAACCAAAATCTGGCGTGGGAGAGAGTGAGAAGGGCTGCTGTGTGTTTCTTTTTCAAAGAGAAAAAATTCTATATCATTTAATTAACACACACTGTTCTTTTATATTGAAAATTTAGTTGCCCTATTCCCATATGGAATAGGCTTGGGCTCCAACCCAAACACCCCATGTTACCAAACACTCCCAATTAGATATTTTATTTTATTTCATCATTATCTCAATTAAAATCAATTAATATATACTTAATCTATATATATTAACATTTAACAATAATGATGATTTAATTAAATATATGCGAACACATATTTAAACGTAATTTCACTTATTTAATTTTTCTAATAAATTAAATAAAGGCTACAACCTTAGCAAATTTAATTGCACTGTGAAATTACCAAAATACCCTTTCACCTAAAAAGATGAAAACGCCATTCTTTCTTCTTGAGTCTTAAATTATCTTTTATTTGTGTGACCCATAGGTTCCTCATCATATCGGCAGTGTATAGTATCGCGATTAACACCAATTAATCATCTCACTAATACACAAACCAAGATTGGCCCCTAGCAAGGCATCATGGCCACCCAATAGATTCGGATTCAGCAAAGTAGCTACCTGTAAACGATATGGTTACCGTACAATTCGATCCTTTCATCATCCGTTATTTCGACGAGACAAAGGCATAGAAATAGTGTCAACCTTCAGCTACTCTCGATATTATGTATTCAGTTTCTGGACCAATCACTTGTATTATAAACTGGATAGAGCAACAACTCAATCCCACTGTGGCCACAGTTTTAGTGTCATTGCCATATATTGAATTGCACCGTGAGATAACTTCTCTCATACCCGGGAGTGATGAATCCTCTGTCAATCCACCATAGTCTTGATACACTCCTTGATGCAGCCAATCACCACCGTATTGACAGCTCTGAATAGAACTGCATTAGGCTAGTGTCAAACTGCACCAATCAGTCTTGTCCGGTGATCTCAAGTCTAAGGATCACATGTACCACCATTCGTTAGAGGATTTATTCCACATAGACACTGGGGTTACCATCCATATGGAATCCTCTGGTAGGTCAGTCTAGTGAACTTGCTGCGATATATCCGCCTACAGCAAGCACCTATGTGTTGCACTAGGTTGTCACCAAACAACCTCTACAAGTGAGATCAGTCACTGCCTTTCGACAGGGTCGTTCAACACTATGATAGCCTTACCGTATTATCTGTGCCCTTACTTCAGAATAATACTGGGGCTAAGGACTTTTCTAGAATGACCACCATATGTGCTCATAGGGTTCCACTATCAAGATTTGAAACACTTGATACCCTCGTCATGGTTCTACCATTCTAAAGACATATATCAATACATATTGCAATAATAATGATTTACGTGATATAGAATAAAATGCTTTTTATTATTGATTAATGAACATTATTACAAAGAGTCAATCCCACAATAATTGATTGGCTCTAGGGCGCCTCCTCTAACAATCTCCCACTTGCACTATAGCCAATCATCTATGCACTCAACATTGAATGACCCAAGTGTCTGTACTATAGCCAGTCATTCATACACTCAACATTGAATGACCGAAGTGCCCATCATGCTTCTGCTACAACAGAAACTTCAATAGTGGGTTAGTAGGTATTCTGCAATTCTGCACATTCCATTTCTTATCGATCCTTTAGATCAGATTGAATCAACTAAGTAACTGTTTAGATTACTGGTGAGACCGTGATTCCTCAGCTACAACAATGGCTCCATTGTTATCGTAGTACAACTATACTGGATCAGCAATGGTTGGAATTACGTCAACTTCAGTAATGAACTTCTTGATCCAAACCACCTACATGGTAGCATTAAAAATGCGATACACTTAGCATCAATTGTAGAATTCACTGTAATACACTAATTCGAGCTCTTCCAGCTCACCGCAGTTATATTGAGACAAAATTGTGTAATCCCAAATTGTGAACTATAATCATCTTTTCCTGTTTGGAAATAGCATCACATCTTCCCTTCCATAAACCAAGAACATATCCTTAGTCCTTTTTAGGTACTTAAGAATATTCT